CCCAACAAAGATCATATTGACGAATTGAAGGCACAACTGGCTAGGGAATTTGAAATGAAGGACTTGAGATCATCAAACAAGATTCTAGGGATGCAAATTCACCGGGACAGAAGTAATAGGAAGACTTGGCTTTCACAAAAGAATTACTTAAAGAAGATCTTGTCACGTTTCAGCATGCAAGATTGTAAGCCAATTTCTACCCCTCTTCCTATTAACTTCAAATTATCCTCCAGTATGAGTCCTAGCAGTGAAGAAGAGAGGATGGAGATGTCTCGAGTACCGTATGCATCGGTAGTGGGAAGTTTAATGTTCGCTATGATATGCACAAGACCAGACATTGCACAAGCAGTGGGAGTGGTTAGTCGGTACATGGAGAATCCAGGCAAAGAGCATTGGAATACAGTAAAGAGGATCCTTAGATACATCAAAGGGACCTCAAATGTTGCATTATGATACGGAGGATCAAACTTACTTATAAATGGGTATGTCGATTCTGACTATGCAGGGGATTTGGATAAAAGTAAATCTACTACAAGATATGTGTTCAAAGTTGCTGGTGGAGCTGTAAGCTAGGTTTCAAAATTGCAGTCAGTTGTGGCTACATCCACAACAGAAGTAGAATATGTAGCAGCTACACAAGCCAGTAAAGAAGAAATTTGGTTGAAAATGCTATTGGAGGAGCTTGGGCACAATCAAGAGTATGTCTCTCTATTTGTGACAGTCAAAGCGCCTTGCATCTAGCAAGGAATCCAGCATTTCATTCAAGGACAAAGCACATACGAGTTCAATACCATTTCATTCGTGAAAAGGTGGAAGAAGGGACGGTAGATATGCAGAAGATCCATACCAAAGACAACATAGTAGATTTCATGACGAAGGCGATAAATGCTTTTAAATTTACTTGGTGTCGATCCTATTGTGGCCTGTCAGAGATGTAAGCAACATGAAGGTACAAGGTAGAAAGAATGGTGTGAATATATGATTGTTCCAATCAAATCTTTAAGTGGGATATTGTTGAAAAGTCAAGATAAGTGGCCAAATTGATGGCCAAACTATTTGGTACAAATTGTTGAAAAAAATTGTTAGGCACCAAAAGTTTGGATTGAAAAACAATTCCACCTAAAATGTTGAAAATGTGGATGGTAAAACTATGCAATTAGTCATTATAATTTAGGGTATTTACAAATTAGTCCTTAAAGCTTTAACTATAAATACCCTAGCTCATTTAGCATCAAAACCATCCCAAAGCATTCTAGCTTTCTTCCAATAACAGAGAGAATTTAGAGAGTTTCTTGAGAGTTGTTTTCTCCTATTTTTATTTTCTCAAATTATCAGTTTCATTTTTGCTCTATCCGATAGTCGTCTTTCGCAACACCCACCATTAGTTTCTTGATACTTGGATTAGTAAATCATAAATAAATTAACGATGATTTTCTGTTTACCTTCATTTCAACATTTTTATTCCAACGTCCTTACTTTGGAATCATTGTTAAGTGAAAATTCTCTCATGCATACTCAATTCTTCTTTCCATCTCTTTGCTAAATCATCATCAATTTCATGTTTTGCTATCAATTTACAGCAATCTCTTGACTACTTTCGAAGCTTTAATATTTTCAGTTTCATCACATTTCTTCTTCACAGATTATTGTACCAATATTTTTCAAATCATTTATTGAAGAGGATTAAATCATCTGTTAGACTACTATGATTTAATAATTTACATCCAAGACTATTAAAATATATAAAATAAATAAATATTTTAATGATGATAAATCATCTGGAAAAAATTTAAAATCTCATATGATTTCGTTATCCCTATCACTATTGTTTCAGTGTCATATTGAAACTGGAGCTAATAACAAAAGAGATTGCATATATTAGTGACAAAGTGAAGCTTGAAAAGACAAATCATGTTTTTGGATGGTTTAAGAGTAGAAAATGGAGGATTTGATGATAAGGAATGAAGAAAAAAGTGATGGGTGAAGTAAATGTTGATGAATAAATGATTTGGAAAAGGAATGGGAATAAGAAATGTGATGAAACTGATGATACTAAAGCATCGAAAGTAGTTAAGAGATGATCGTGAATTGATAACAAACCATGAAAATGATGACGATGGAGCAAAGAGATGAAAAAGAATAATTGAGGATGTAAGAGAGAATTTTCACCGAATTGATAACATAACTTTGGTTAAGTATTTGAATTTGAAAGAATATTTGGTTGAGTAACCGGTTAGGCAGCGGCACCAGCCCTTAAGGCTGGTTGTTGGCCGCCGATCCTTTTCCTTTCCTTTATTATTTTAGCTTTTTATTAATTCGTTTTTAGCAGTTAGATTGGTGGTGGAGGCTACCACAGCCTAGCGTTAGAGATTGATTCCGTCTTCGAATGTGTCTCTTGACTATGTGTGTTGGTTCATTCTCTCAAGTTTATTCTATTTGTAGAAGAGGTTCAGTGTTTGTCATATTTTGTGTCCTTTATTCCTCTATTATCTTGAATTGAGAGTGTGGGTCTGTTCCGAATGTATTCTTCTCTTTCGTCATTCAGTTGTCCTGTGTTTTGCTTTGCTTAGTTGGGTGTTCTCTGGAGTTGCTTCTAGATACGATTCTATGTCCGCTCCTGTGCTTGTTGTTTCGCATTGTGTGTTCCTTGATGGCTTCCGGCCGGTGGTGGAGTGGTGAATACAGCGTTATCGAAGACGTGTTGAGTCCTAGGTTGCAGGAGGTTTATGCTTCAGTTGCTGGTTTTTCTTTTCCGGTCGTGGAAATGAGGCGGCTGTCGATAAGAGTGGGAGTTGTTTCTTTTGGAAGTTTACCAACTTTGTGAGGATTCTTGCTTTCATTGTTGAACTTTTGGTTGGTGGCGGAGCGTGGCATGTAGTCGCAGATGGTATGGCAGATGTTGTTGGTTTCGTTGTGGTTTGTGCAGATTAACTAGTCTCGAGTAAGGAGGTATGGGCACGTGTAGCTCTTGGCGTTGGGCCAGAGGAATATTTTCTATAGTGGATTGTTGGCAGCTAGTTTGGTGCTTGTGGTTATTTGTGTTTCGTTAGAGGGGCATCATGGTATGGGCGTTAGTGGAGCTCGGCATGGTTGGCATTGCAAGTGGTAGGCCCTGGCGTTAAATATTGCATCTGCGCATATTGTGTTCTGCCTAAGGAGCGTTATTGCTTTTAATGGATACAACTTGTTTGGGGTTAGTGGAATGTGAGGTGGAAAGGAGGGATGCTGCTAAAGAGATTTAGCTTGTTTCTTCGTTTTTTTAATTATATTGGATATAAAATCCAGGTTGGCGATGCACGTGGTGGGCTTCAAGAGTTTTTTAGAGTAGTGGGCGAGGACTTTTTAGTAAAAGCATGCATGGTGGACAGGTGCATTTCCAGCAGTCCAACCTAGTTTCATGATTGGCAATAAGTGTGTATGCAATTGTTTCGCGTTCAATAGAAAGCGTATGGGTGATCGTGATTTTTCTACGAAGGCGTTCGCCGCTGATCAGACGGAGATAGAACATTGTAGCGAGGGAAACGCTTCGCGTGGGTTAGGATCTGGGCATTGCTTTCTCGTTTTGAAAGATAATGTGTTTTTAAGTTTGGAGCACTTTGTGCTCTAGATAATATATAGTGGGTGAGTTTTCTGCTTTAGTAGAAGGTTCGTGTAAGGGCAGAGCTTCTACTGTTTAGCTATGGCCCTCGATGGATTCGAGTGTTAGAGTTGTTCGTAGTCTCGTTTCTTTGATGTTTGGTTGGTGCTGATAGGGCTCAGATCAAAGTTTAATTACCTTTGATCGGCATATGCTCGACTGTCTTATGTCTAGGAGGTTGTATCATGGTTTTGTTCTTTTTTTTGGTTGTGTGTAGTTCCTCTTTGTATTTCTTTCAGGGGTAATGTGTAGCTACATTGTTGTAGTTTGTTTCGGGTTGTTCTAGTAGTGTGGTTCCCGGCTGTTGTTCTTGTTGTTCCTGGGTTCATGTTGAACCTTCTTCCATCCCAAGGTTCACTCTTTTTCCTCTAATTAGGATTAGAGAGGTTTTTTAATGAGATCCTTGGAGTGGTGTACTTTGTGATTCCAAATACAAAGTAACTATTTTAAAAAAAAAAAGATGTTAGAATAAAAGTGTCAAAAGGAAGAGAAACAATAGAGGTAAACGATAAATAACTGTTAATTTATTTATGATTCATTAGTTCACGTGTCAAAAAAAAACTAGTGGTGGGCACCTAAAGAGGCACACAATGGGGCAGAAGAATTGTGTTCCATTAAATTATGTTTTCCGGGCACTTCCTTCAAATGCAGGGTGGAGACACATCGCAGTAGTCCATAAGCTATTATGGCAATATATTTTCAATCCGATTGGCTTGAAAATTTAGCTGTCTGTCTAAATATTATTAATAACTTTGATATTTTTGGTGATGAATTCTACTGGAAACAACTATAAATATACAGGAATCTGCTCAGCAAGCACCAGCCTTGGCCCTCCCCATAGCTCACTGCATAAGGAAACTTCTTTATAATGTTTATAGATCTTCAACCTCACGTCCTCACCGATTCTCAACTGCTTTTTTTTATCTTCTCGTGTTTCCTCATATCAAGTGGCTCCACATATTTAGTATAAAACACAATTATAATTTATTTATATTTGATATTGGACATCCCTTCACTAATCGGTAACTACCACATCTTCTTACAATTATTATCCAGTACAATATAATTACTGCTTATGTATAACATGTTCAGTACAACTTTCACAGGCTAATTTTGTGAAAAGCACCTTTTTAGTTAATTTTCTGTATATTTGGTAGATGAGAAGCTTCAGACTAATCGGGAATACGTTAGGTTTCCAAACTGCCAACAACCAAACTAAAATAGAAACAGTGACGAATCGCACTGTACAGTGACGACGATGGTTTTTGTCGAGAAACTTCAACTGGCACTCGCTAATGGGAGTCTATATATAAATAAGCTTATCCTATACGTTCAAAAGTCATAAATCAATCCACAGCTCAATTCCGACAATCAAAACTAGCTCATCACATGGAATCCTATCATGCATATTCTCTTCCTTCTCTTGCTGTTCTCTCTCTCTGCATGTCATTTTTTTCCGTTGCTGATGCTGAAGCATCGACATTGCAAAGGCCCTTCAACAACAACATTTCAGCTGGTTTTGTGTTTGGGGATTCGACGGTGGATCCTGGGAACAACAACTTTGTGCAGACCCTCTTTAGGAGCAACTTTCCTCCCTATGGCAAGGATTTTAGAGGCCAAACTCCAACCGGAAGGTTTACCAACGGCAAGTTGACCACCGATCTCTTTGGTAGGTTGATATTTATTCATTGAAATGCATCGTGGTATTTGGTATTCTTTGTGAGTTCGTTGTATAGCTTGCTTTGATTATTTTGGTCCATATGGGCAGCTTCATACATAGGGATAAAAGAATATTTGCCACCATATTTGGATCCCAACCTTAGCATTGAGGACCTGATGACAGGAGTTAGCTTCGCCTCCGCTGGCACCGGATTGGATCCACTTACAGCACAGATATCTGTTGACATTTCTCCCTTTTCCCTTTTCTCCTTTCATACACTAAATTATGAATTATTATTTAATACAATAGTTACATGATTTTTAACTTCAAGTTTCTTAATCACTTTATAAATTTAAAAAATCTCACTGTAGAAAATAAATTAAAGTTTGAATATTGATCTGTTGAATCCCAGAGCGTGATTTCATTACCAAAGCAGCTGGATTATTTTAAAGAGTATAAAAAACGACTGCAATCTGCCATTGGAAAGGAAAGGATGGAAAGTATTATCAAAGACGGGGTGTTTCTTATCAGTTGTGGCACTAATGACTTCGTAGTAAACTATTTCACCTTACCAATTCGACGAAAGAAGTATACTGTGTCAGGCTATCAACAGTTCGTGTTGCACAATTTGAAGCAACTCCTACAGGTTTGGCTTAAGAACTGCTACAAAATACTTGACTTAACAAATAAAAATTTCCTATTTATAACATCATAGCATTGAGTGTATAATAATACTCTTGTGATCTAAATAGTTGTGTTTAATATATGCATAGAAATTGAAACTAGATTATGTAAAATATAGCAGTCCTAACTTTTTTTCTTGTTGAGGTGAGAAATTACACTAGGTTGAGTCTATCATGGTGGCTCCTGCTGTACCTCAGAAGCAACCTCCTCTGGTATCTGGGTGAATTCATGGAGACTCGAAGAGAGTTCCCAACCTAGGAAGATATAACAGTCTTAATTTAATGTCACATATTTCTCTTCTTTTTTTAACAATTTCTACTAGGGAGGGGAAGAAGAATTTTTGTTCCTAATAGACATTGAACCCACAACCTAAGAAAAAGAGAAGATGTCAAACCATAACTTTTAACTAATTACTCTAGAGATTACTTTTTAACTATTTTAGAAATGATCATTTTATTCATTTATCAAACGTATAGTAACTTTTAAATCACTTAAAAGTAGATAGAAAATGCATTCCTACCGTCAAAGTCGACGAATCGAGTATGAAATTAAATGGGCAACATCCGTATAAATATTTGTTGGATAATTTAAAGCTTGTTAAGGCTGAATGATAAATGGGACTCGATTCTGAACCTACTTATCATAGAAAAAGGATCTAAAGGAATGGCATGGGGTCCTAACATTAACTACATGGTTAGTACGAGCACCACCCAATTCTTCCATTGTCTTTAAGAAGGAACGTATAAATAGAACAGTCTGCACTCTGCAGTACTACTCTTGAAGCTCTGCAACTTGGAAGCTTTGATTTTTATCAGTCCTTTTTCCACAGGATTTATGGGACGAAGGGGCTCGGAGAATCGCCGTTACAGGACTGCCTCCGATGGGTTGTTTACCGGTTGTCATCACCCTCAATTCCGGAAATGCGATCCTAGAACGTGGTTGCATTGAAAAATTTTCTCGGACTGGAATGGAATATAACCAAATGCTCCAAATTGAACTGAACTCAATGCAGGGTAGATATGCTCATCTGGGTGCAAAAATCACTTATGTCGACATTTTCACACCATTGGTTGACATGATTCAAGGCCTTGGAAAACATGGTAAACATAATCTTCTATTTTGTCATAAAAACCTTAGTGGTTTCTACTGGCCTATCACAATAAACCAGATTTTCCCATTTCCTTCTTAATTTCTCTGTAGAATTTGACGAGGTTAGCCATGGCTGCTGTGGGAGTGGTTTCTTGGAAGCAGGATTTTTGTGTAATCCAGAATCATTTGTGTGTTTTGATGCGTCAATATGGTTTTTTCGATTCAATTACCCTACTGAGAAGACATACACTAAATTTTTGTGGCTAGCCGTTCTGTCATGGATTACTGATTCGGGGACTGATATCTTATTAATTGATCAGTGATATAATAAAAATTATGTTAACATTTATTATCTTTTTTTCCCTTATCCAGAATCATTTGTGTGTTTTGATGCGTCAAAATATGTATTTTTCGATTCAATTCACCCTACTGAGAAGACATACACTAAATTATTTGTGGCTAGCCGTTCTGTCATGGATTTACTGATTCGGGACTGATATCGTATTGATTGATCAGTGATATAATAAAAATTTATGTTAACATTATTATCTTTTTTTCCCTTACATGTGCTACCGAGCTTGGTCACATCTAATTTCTTTTGGCCACATCTAAATTCAATGCAACGGGAATTATTGAGAAGTTTTATATGCGACTGAAATTTTCAGTAAAAAAACACTTTATGATTCATAACTAGAGCAGATGCGTTTATCAATTTCCACGGATGCAAATTAATACATTTGTACGCTAAAATAAATTCGTCTGCAATTTGATATTTATCACGTTTTGGATATGGCGCATGGCCAGGGACAGAGCCATTATGCCTTGCCATTAAAATTTAATTATATAATATAATTAAAATATTTTTATAAAACTAAAATATTTTAATTGAAATTATAAATATTTTTATAATATTTTACATTTATTTTATAATTGATATTTTTCTTAAAATAAATAATTAAATTCTATCACAATTTCATCTAAGTATTAGTTTTTCCAATAATATATAATTTCATAATTTATGTATTGGAGCCAACGAGTATCGGATTGGAGCCAACGAGTATCGGAACAAGGTTATGATTTAGGAATTTGAGATTGTAAGGTTAAGTTCGAATCCTACCATTGTCACTCTTGATAGATAATTTATAAATTCCTATGTAAATCTCAATTGAGACATATCCCGGACTAGGGAGACATATCCGACCTAAAAAAAATATGTATGCATTGGTCATGTATTGAACTTCCTAAAGATTTTAAGTTTTAGCCCTATTACTTATATATATTTTTATTTTGAGTATTCTCATTAATAAGATAATAACATATTTCATTACATTATTATATTATATTAATTTCTTAAAAATGTCACACTAATTTTTTTAATGTACTAAACCAGATTCTCATTACTAAAATAATGAACATTAACAATTAAATAATTAATTTATTCAAAATTAATAATACTAATAATTCATTTTAATAAAAGATGATATCGATAATCTAAATATAACTTCTTAAATTTTAATGATAGAAAGAGAAACTAACTCATAATTTAGTGAAAACTATCTTTTTTGTCGGATAAAAAATCATGTTTGAGAAATGAGAAGGGAGAGAGGAGAGAGGAAAGAACGTGAGTTTCGGAACCTACCAATGATGGATTGGATCAGAGTGAATATCCAGAATCCGAGTTAATTCCCTCAGCATGGTGAAGAATGAGATGTCTTATTTGGGTCGATAGTATGAGGGATGTGGCTGCAAAGGAACAAGGGCATCTTTGATCCGGAGTTCGTGGAAGTGAAAAGTGTTATTCAAAGCAGACGCCGACACCAACTGGAAGCTTTGTATGCGAAGCAAATGCATAGAGTAAATGGCTCACAAGGAATAGCGACCAACCGACAATGATAAAGTGGTCGACACCACGGCACCACCGATGGGGTGGTACAAGGTGGTGCCGTGGTACAAATTAAATGTGGATAGTGCACGAAATCCTTTAAATGGATTGACGTTTTGTGGTGGGGAAATCTGGGATGAAAATGGACAATGGATTTATGGTTACGCGAAGATGACTAGATGTTGTTCGATTGTTGATGTGGAATTATGGGGAGCGTACAAAGGCTTAGGGTTAGTTTCAAGTATGAATGTACAACAGTTTTACGTTGAAACGGACTGCAAAGGAGTTTGGAACCTATTAAAGCAAGAAGCTAAGATGGATCGTATATCTCCATGGTACTAAAGACACAATCATTTAAGTTTCAAATATTGGTTGTTAATTTATTATTATCTTCTGTTATCTTTTTTTTCTTTTGTTATTTTCATTTGATTTTAAAATTTTACTTTGGGTTCTTCCAATTATAATCCCTTCAACCATTTTCAATAAAGTCACTCTTCAATTCATATTCTACCTTGTTCCTTTATGGTAATCAGAGCCTAAAACGTTATCACGAAAAAATTCTATTCGTTTTTCTCTTAGCTCACAAATGACCCATTATATTACCAACTCAGACAACTCAACACCCACAACCATAGTTGTTCAAGTCAACCCTCTTGCCCAGTTACCAATAAAACTCATTAGTAGCCAAAACTTCACCATTTGGAAAGCTCAAATTGAAATGTTGATGCAAGGCCACAACCTATTTGGTTATTTTGATGGTACTACAATTACACCACCTGCACCACTAACCATTAAAAATCAAATCACTCCAAACCCAATCTACCAAACCTGGTTTGATAAACTAATTCAGAATGCCATTTTAGCTTCTGTTCACCCTACTCTTGCATCTACCATAGCAGTTGCACCTAATGCTCATAGAGCTTGACAATCACTACATACATCTTTTGCCAATAAATCTCAAACCCGGATTCTTAGTCTTCAAGATAAACTTGCACATGTTACCCAAGATACCCGACCAATTGTTGATTACCTCCGTAAAATACGCTCTACTGCAGATGAGTTTGCCACTACAAGTGAACCAATCTCCAACACTCGTCTTATTGTTCGGATCCTACAAGGTCTTGGTCCTGAATATAAACACATTTTTGCCGCCATCAGATCTCGTGAAACACATATAACTTATGAAGAGCTTTATGAAAAACTCCTTGATCATGAATTTTTTTCTACAAAATTAAGACAACAAGAACATGCTAGGACCACCCGTCACTGCCAATGTTTCTCAAAACTCTTGTTTTCCATCATCACGATATGACGGTAATCATCGATAAAACTCCAACAACAATTATAATGGGCGTAACCAACCCAATCATCCATTAATTAATACTTAAAAACAACAACAATCTAACACCACTGTGTGTTGCCAACTATGCAATAGACCTAGTCATTATACTCGTGTGTGTCGTACAATGTCCCACAATCATATTCAAGCAAGAGCAAATTTTGTGGCTCGCTCCCAAATTTCTCAAGCACCTTGGATAATAGATACTGGTGCAACTCACCAATGATGTTCAAAGTATGAGCACTGCACAAGACTATCATGGTCCTGAAGAAATCATAATGGGAAATGGTAACACTGTTCCGATTTCACACACTGGCACTGTTACTCTAAATGTTTCAACTAAAAATTTCAACTTCACCAAACTCTATCTCTCCTTCTAGTAAAACCAATATTATCTTTGTTTCCCTTTTTGTCTTGATAATAACACCTCTATTGAATATGATGAATTCTTTATTTAGTTAATATTTTTCTATTAATTAATATGTGTTATCTCTTTAATAGTGTTAATTTGGGTTATTTATGTTAGATTTAATGCATGACTCTATTTTCCAGAAAACAACAATTAAAAGGCAAATTAGGAATTAAGTGTTCTAATGCTCTTAAGAGTTAGTATTTTATTTTCATTTTGTTATCTCAAAGCTATAAATACCCTCTAAGGAAGAGGCTTGAGAGATTCAATTCACATATTCAGTTTAGTATTGATTTTGGTTTTGGTTTTGGTTTTGGTTTTATTTTAGGGTTTTTAGTTTAATAAAATATTTTTTTCATCTACTTTCTTTCTACACACCAAGTATGATCTCTATCATGCTTGGCTAAACTTTTATTTTGCCGATAGCTAAGCGACGACTTAATCCATTTCGTGAGAATTGAAAAAAACACTTCATATCTTAAGATTCTTTCATGATTTTCAACAAACAAGAAGAGGCAATTGACCTTTTATTCAAACATCTCAACACCTTCAATCCAAAGTACGCTCATTGGTTTTGATCAACGTTTTGATCTACAGTTGGGGAAGAGAGTCGACTTGTAGCAAATTCAATTCTTTAAGAACAAACTTAGCGATGGTACGCTAAGGGAAATCAAGATCGGGTTCGATTCTCATTGAGACACCATAATCCGAGCACATGCCTTTCCAGTTTATAAACCAACATTGGCATTAACATCCATAGATGTTATCCAAACAAGGGCTAAATTCTAAGGATTGACTTTGGGAAATTAGTTCACCAAGGAAAAGAGTAAGTTACAAGGGTTGTGCCTCATAGACTGTAATCGACAAGTATCCGAAGTAAAATTTGTTTCAGTGATCGAGACGAATTGAGGCAAATTGAAGCTGGGGCTATCTCTCATCTTAATTAATTCCCTACAATTTGCTTTCCTTATTTTTATCTCTTTTACTTTAGTTTTATTTTATTTAGTTTACTTGATTATTTTAAACCCCATCTTTTTAATCTTTTTGTTTTACATATTTCTTGGTTTAAGATCAAATCAAAAATCAGAATTAGAAATTTTTGAATTTATGTGGATCGACACCTTTCCATCCTATATTACATTTAAAGCATAATTATCTGAGAAAAAATATTAATTATTTGACAATTACGACGTTTTACAAAAGGTATTGAAGTATTGATGGATGATTTCAGCGTGTAAGGTAATTCCTTTAACGAGTGACTTCTAAATCTGATCCACTGATTCACGACAATCGATCGATCACCTGTTGCTCGAATCTTCCATTTCATCACACTTCCCCTTTCATCTCTATTCGAGTCACCATGGTGAGAACAAGAAACCAAAGCAATGCCCACCTCAATCACCAATTACACTCAGTGGTCCTCGTTATTTTGTAGCGTCGGCATTCGTCCAACTACCGAGTAACTCTGATTCCTTACCACAGCCTCCTCTATTCCACGACGTGGAAGCCGAAGACAGTGGCCAAACATCGTACCGCCCTCAAGAACCAAATCCAATTCACGTCACTCCAGGTTCTTCCTTTGTTGCGTCTTCCTACATCGGTCATTCTGCTTAATCGCACAATTCTACTGCTCCTTCTGGACCATGGTATAACTGACCGTTATCGACAATGTCCCCTTTTTTCACTCTATGTC